TAATTATTATAAGAAAAATATGAGTGAAGTTTTAAAAGAATGGTTTAAAAGAAGATTAGGTATTTTAATCGATTTAACACCCGAGTTGTTTGGACATTACACAAAAGACGGTTATATCTTGGCACAAATTCTTCACGGTTATGGTATAATTAATTGCGATCAATTAGGTACGATCATTCAAACGAAAGATCCAACATTATGTCGTGTAAATTTAAAACATTTACGTATTTGGTTACGTTTTATCGGTGTTGATTGTACCGACGATTGTATCGGACAAATAAGTTGTGGCAAAGGTACCACTGCTTTACAATTATTTTATAAAGTTTATCTAAGTTTAGAAGACAAGGACAGTTTATACTTTATCACGTTACAAAAAGAACGAGAAAAATACATACCAAGTTCAAGAAAATTTGACGTAATTCCTATCGACGAAGAACCCACACCATACGAAATACCAGATCATCCATTATCAAAACCATTGAAAACAGCAACTAGTACGATAAAATGGTATCGTGATAAGTTTCAAAAGACATTAAAAACTTCTAAAGAAGAACAACAAGTACATTCAAAAATATTACAAACGAAATATCCATCTGAAAGGATCGATTGGATGGAATCTATTCATGTTTCGATGACATTAAATGATACGAAAAATGATGATATTTCAAAAGAAATGAATGATTTTGCTCGTAAACATCGTATTAAATCTTCCATAAAGGATATTTATTATGATCCTTGTTCAAATGATAAAATATATGAAGAAATAGAATTATACGAGGAAAATCCTGATGCTGCTAAAGCTTATGTATCATGGCTGAAAAATCGTAAGAAAAAGGATAACATTGATAACACTGTTAAATCTGGAATACAAAATACATTGATTTCTGAACTTAGGAAAAATTTATTAGAAAATCAAGAGAAATGTTTCGACGAATTATTGGCACGTCGAGTACTAGATCAATCGCATTACGAAAAACAAATAATAACTAAATTGTCGGAGGTACTTAATCAGAAAAATGTTATGACTGAGAACAGAAGGATAGTTGATGAATTGATGTTAGAAGCTGAAGAGAATAAAAAAAGATTAGAACAAGATAGACAAAGAGAGGAATACGATTGGGAATACGAAGAAATTGATATGGAATATCGTAGATTATGTGAATTACATTGTAAAATTCGTCAGGAGAAATTAAACAAATTGCGTGAAAAACACGAAAGAATCTGTCGAGAAGTTTTATATGATTTGATAGACATTGCATTGAAATTATCTGAATATCGAAGTTCAAACGAATGTTCTTTGCCAAAAGCGATTTGGAACGAATGGAAAACGTTGTTCTTAAAATGTCAGCCAATATTCGAATTGTTTGAGAATGAATTTTCTAAAGAAGATGATGATGATGATGATGAAGAAGAAGAAAAAGAAGAAGAAGAAGAAGATATCGAAGAAATTGTTCAATCACGATTGGACAGAGAAGAAATATTGAACGAAGCCAATTTCGAAAATTATCATACTTTGCAATCACCTTGGGACGAATACGTTCCATCTACGATTGATCCAGAAATTGAAGAAATCTTAAAGTTAGGTGAACTAGTGTTAGGATACATAGTACATCGACTTTTAGAATTTGTTTATCCTTATCCAAGTGGTCCTTTAGAATCACCAGTACCTAAAGTTAAAACAGCTGCTATCGTTTTAGGTATTATTGAACCACGTTTGTACGATTCTATAGAAATATTATTAAAAAATAGTGATATACGTTTGGTATCAATGAAAGATGCAATTAATTATTGTTTGTTAAGATACAAGGAAGAAATGTTGGATTTTGAATATATCGATGCAAATATTATTCGTGCTACCAATGATATTATGAAAAATCGTAAAGTTGATAATTTAAAAAATAATACAACGACTAGATCGAAAAAAATTCATAAATCTGATCAAATTTCTCTACGTAGAAAAGAAAAATTGAAAGAGAAGGATAAAGGAAAAGGTTTGAAAGAAAAAGAAACTCAAACACCACGAGTTATACCATACGATGATATGAATCCTATTTTAAGTGATGCTGCACACATTGGAAAATGGACATACGAATTTTTAATATTGGGTCAACCAATTTCTAACGAATTAAATACCAAAATAATTATTGAATATTTAAAGAGTTTAGGTGAAATCGAAGGATGGGCATTGATCGATTATCCTAATAGTTATGAACAAATGATACGTTTGGAATTTGCTTTAACTGGTCATCAAATTTCTCAACATTATGTTGATTCTATTAATGTGGTAGAAGAATTCGATAAAATTAACATAGAAGATATAGATCCGGTTTCGTCGAGAATAATTTATGAGGATACTGAAATCGATGATTATAGTATTTACAGGTAATCATTGATACTTTATAAATAATTATAATATATAATTATATATATTATATTATATTATTTATATATAATATATATATATTATAGTATATTTTATTATATTTATATTTTATATTATTATATTTTATTATTATATTATATAATATAATTAAAATTACACACACGAAGGTATTTGTTTATTAAATAAAATATTAGTATACTTGACACTTAGTAATTTAATTTATTCTTTATAAATATTAATAAATAATATTAAATAAGAAACGTATGATAAAATACTATGAGATATTATTTTTTGTTTTTTTTTTTTTTTCTACAGACAGTCAAAATTATTGCCAAATCCTATAATCAAGAAAAATGATAGTACTTCAACGTCAACATTTATGACAACTTACGTCAGAGTTATACCAAAACCAATTAACCTTAAAGTAGATCCGAATAAATTAGTAGAAATATTGTCAGATGATGTTACACCTATCGATAAATTTTATATCGAACAAAACATAGCTTATGTGGTTTATTACGATCATTTCGATACAAATATCATTAAAAAAATAGTCAGATTAGTAATTGGTGATAAATCTATGCCAAGGACACCTTCCATTGAATTATTTGGTGAAGATGCATTGAAATTATTGGAAGAACATGAAAAACGTAATTACAAAGAATTTTCCCCAAAAAAATCCAAAATTGTTGAACGATCTGTTTTATCCAAAGAAAAAGAAGAAGAAGAAAAAGAAGAAGAAAAAGATAAGATCAAAATGAAAGATGACAAAGTTTCCGATGATCATCTTGATGTTCATGGTGTATCAACAAAACCTGGAGAAGATGGTTGGAAATGGTTAGATTTACCTATAAATCCTATATTACTCGATGCTTTGGCTACATTATGGGAAAATTTGGAAGAAATTTATATTTTCGATTTGATGGAAATATTTTCATTAAAGAGAATCCATTCGATGTCTGTTATACCTTATAAAAATTTTTTAACCAATAACATGATGAAATTTATTAATAGACCTGATAGCAAACAAAATTTATTACATGAATTTCAACATATGTTCAACAATGTAAAAGATGACACGAGAAACGACGATGATGTTAAATGTGAATTACATTGTCGTTTGATTGAATTTCAAAATGATTTATTTGATATTTGTGATGTCAAAAGATTGGAATGTGAAAAGGAACGTCAAAGAATAATTCACGAAAATTGGACCTCTTTCGAAGCTGTTATATTGATTAATATTTATCTTTCGATAATTCAATGTGAAATTGATCGTTTTGTAGATACTATTCAATTGATACAAGATTATTATACTAGTATGCTTGAAAAATCTATCAAAGAAACTAGATATTCGAAAATTTTACTCGACAAATTGAATATACATGATATCAAATTGCAAATGAATGAAAATATGTTTGATGATAGTACTACTATGATCAATGATAAATATATTAAAGATAAAATAGATCGAAAAGATGTGAAAAAATCGAAAAATATATCGGATAAATTTGATTTTACAAAACCTGTTATAAATGTGCACAATTTAATTGAAGAAATAACGAATTTATTTGTCAATGTTGCAAATTCAACTAGCAATTTTGATACAAACGATAGTTTAATTTATAAAGTTATCAATGATAATGTTAATTATGTTAAACAATTTGTAGAATTTATCGCAACTCGTGCAAATGAGACAATGAAAAAAGAAGAGAATGTTTCAACTGGTAGAGAAAAAACTCGAAGAAAAGTTGACGATGAAAAATTGATGAGAATTAAGATAAATGATCTTTTTCAAGAATGGAAATACGCCATTTTATTTGAAATCAATCGAATAAAAATGAGATTGGATGTTATTTTAGGTTCAGCAAAAGTCGACGTTAATTTTCTTCTCGAAACAATGCGATTGACGTTTCATCAAATTTATGAGAAGATAATTGACAGGTTTTATTTTATTATTATTATTATTATTATCTTTATATATAAAAATTCAGTGTCTCAAAAATTGTCTGTCTCTCCAATGAATTTTGAAATTATTGAATTTTTAGAATTACCGAATTATTATTAAAAAAATATTTTATAATTACCGAACACCGAATTATTACGGAATTTTTTTTATTTCGTGTGATTTTTTTTCAATTTGGGATATAGAATAATTTTTGTCGCGATTATTTTGTATTTTTTTATTGCAAATTTAAAGATTTATTATATTTAGAGGTTATCTAGGTTTCGAAGTTGTTTAAGTATTCAATATGGCGTTGTATTTCCATTCAATTATTTCAATTTATGTACGATATATAACCTTACTTTTTCTATTTAATTAATTATTTTATATTATTAATTAATAATTAATTATATTATATTAATTAATATATATATATATATATATATATATATATATATATATATTATATTAATATACATAGTTAATTAAAAGAGT